GAGGAGGAAGAAGAAGAAGGAGCAGTGCTAATTCAAGGAGCTTATGTTTAGGCTGGTGAAGCTATCAAGTAAATTGAGAATAAAATCAGATTGTTACTAATAAGGCATAAAACAGAGGGAATGACGGTGAGCTGCAACTGTCATGACCATCTATTCACCATCTTTGCTGTCTATACAGGTTTTTATTTCCTGAAATAATTCAGTTAAATTATATGAGAAAATGGACTTATTCTACTTAGTGATTAAGTACCATTTTTCTTGCATGGAGAGGCTAATTACTTGCCCAATATTACTTCATTGGATTACTATGAATCTATTATGTACCTGACATTTTGGTAGGCGATAGGGATAAAATAGAGACTAAAAAATGATAAAATCATGTATGCACATAGTTTACAGTATATCTGGTCAAATATAAAATACTTTTTTTGAAGACAATGTTGCCTAGGCTTTAGCATATGAATATGAGTGGTTACACATACACACACACACTGCCATAAAGAAATAAAATGTCATACATAAGGAAATCATCTCACTTGCCTTTCAAGAATCTGTAACAACTACATATTAACTATGCTGATGTAGGCTGAATAATGTCCCTCCCTCCCCAGAAAACATTTATACATCCTAATCCCTGTACCCTGTAAATATGTTAATTAAGGCAGTAAAAAAAAAAAAGACTTTACATTGGGATTAAGTTGTGAATTTGGGGATGAGGAGATTATTCTAGTTTATCTGAGTGGTCCCAATAAAATCATAGAGCACATATAAAATAGAGGCAGGAGGTGAGAGCCAGTGAAAAGACAATGTGACAACAAAAGCAGAGGAAGACAAGAAATGATGGCAGAAGCAGGGGTCAGAGTGATGCAAGGAAGGGGCCAGAAGCCAATAAATGAAGGTGGCATCTAGAATCTTTAAAAGGCAGGAAAATGGAATCTCTCCTCGAGTCTCCAGAAGGAGTACAGCTGGGTCAACCTATTTTAAACTTCAGACCTCTAGAACCCTAAGATTATAAATTTGATTGTTTTAAACTGGCAAACACATGGTAATTTGTTACAGCTGTAATAGAAAACTTAATACAGCTGATAAGCTGATAGATTCACACTCCTCATTATAACATTCAAAGCTATTTCTCATATAATCACAATGTAACTTTTTAGCCTTATCTCTTATGGTAGCCTAAATTGGTTCATTCAAATCAGCAATACAATCAGTGCCATCTTCTTTTGGCCTTCTATACCTTTTCTTACTTGCCTCCAATTCTAGTCATGGGTTATTTCCTTTTCTATGCAATTCATGCCCATCGCCTGCTTAAAGCCTAATCTCGATGTTCAATTTATTTCACCAATTCTAATATCTCCCAGTAAAGTAGTATCTAAATAGTACTTCAGCTTTTTAAATTTAGTATCATGCTCAGTAATAATTTTTAAGTCATTTTAAATATCCATTCTGCTGCTCTACTAGATTATACCTTCAAAGGAACAGGGAATATATATACTTTGGATTTTTAATCATTTTGGCAGGGGCTTCCAAATTTCTCACATCATTGTGTGCACAGAAAATACTAGAATTTGCAAAGCACACTTGAGTAAATGCATGATGTTGTTATTGGCCACATTTCTTGTTACCCCAGGACCTGTCCAAAGGCTCTGTAACTCAGAACAAGGAAGCTGGAAAACCCTTCTAGATACTTGGCACCATGCAGATCATTTAACTAGGGTTCAAGATATGTTTGCTAACTCATCTGATTAACCAGACATAATAAAACTATTGGCTTTTCTTAAAGCAAATATACATGGCTGTCAGAAAAAAACACCAATACTCTATATTTTTATAGAACTATGATTTATAATTTGTTTAACATACATGCATTTTATTTGACTATCACAAGAACCTTGTGAGATAGGAATGTAGGCACTACTACTGTTATTTTATAAATGAAGAAACTAAGACTTTGAGGGACAAATTACTTTCCGAAGCTGTCAAACAGAAGAACCAGGACTGGAAACTACCCCAAAACTTCATAATTATTGGCTTATTTTTTCCATGATTACTTGAGGCCCTTAAAGCTAATAATACTAATGATTCTAAAACCCAGATTAAAATTTAAGTGAACTCATTCATTTGAAATGGCTTTTGAATATAGACTTAAAACTTTTATGTTTAATAGTGTGAGGCCACTTGGGTCTGACTCCTAAATGATAAAACATGACATTTTGTCAATTCCTGGTACTATTTAATGATTTTTTTATTAGAACAAAAATAAATCTTAAAGATAAAAATATCTTAGAATACAAGATTTTAAGTTTTACAGTTAGCTTGCTGAGGCAGCAAACTGAAGCCCCATTAGGAAAGTGCTACAAGGTAGATTAATATAAAAGAATGACTCAAATAGAGAAGCCATATGTATTATGAAAAATTCTTGGGGGTCTTCATGGCTGGAGGATAAAGACATATACCTCTCCACCCTCAAGGAATATGAACAGCCGAATTCTTTTATTCTTATATCACCTATTGAAGTCAGCAAGTTCCTCCAGGAGGAATCAATAATACAGCCGCATACTTATAGTGGATAGCAGTGAGCTACCTATTACTTTTCAGCCATAAAATGAAGAAAAGTGTAATTTATTTAAATTAGGGAGAGATAATATTGTAACCTACCATAAGCAATATGTGTGCCTACTTAAAAGAATAGCAGTATCATTTTGGGTGCCCTCAAGAGCCACATAAATGCAAAAGAAGAAAATAATTCACCATGGTCTTTGTTCATTCTCTCTGTCACTTAATGATTGTTAATTTAATAAGACCATTTCTTTAAATGAATGATTCTTCAGGAAGCGTTGAGTGTGGGAGGGAGGTTAGCTGTGTGCCAAAGATTAGAAAGTTTCATTTTCAGAGTTCTCCCTTTGTTCACTCCAACACACCTGGTTAAAGCACTTTTATGTATCTGTTATATTTCATGCTACAATTTGTGAGTAGTTACTTTTAAAATGAAAATGACTTCATGAAATAATAAGGAGGATGCCAGAATGAAATTTGGGATTGACTTTGGAAGTGGACATTTGGCTGCGCCTATTACTGGCTGTGTGATGTTGAGCAAGTTATTTAGCTACCATTAAATCTTAGGTTCACATCTGAAAAATGGATGATAAAAAAATCAT